CTTCAGACAGCAGCTTTGTGCCCCGCCAGCTTCTTGTTCCATGCCTACCATGGTGTTTTTGTACAGACAGCACTTCAGACAGCAAGTATGCTGTAGTCGGCAATCATTCGTTTTGGTACAGAGTGGGACAGGTAGGGGGTGATGTTGCTGTAGTCGAACGGTGAGACGGACGTGTAGTTCAGTTTTGGGCACGCGTACGGTGCTGCAGGGATTATATATAGGTGTGGTAGTACCTCTTCGGGCTCTTGCATACCTTTTTCTTGCTACGTGTGCGTGTTCTTTAGATCCTCAGATGGCTCTAGCACTTTCGTGACCACGGGCTGAGAGTCTTCGCTAGATTTTGGCATTTAGCAACTGGCATACGGTTTAATGTGAAGTCAACAACAACAACAACAACATGCAGAACGTTTGACGACGAAATTTTGTTGTTTCGTGTTATTTTGAAATTTAGTTGCTGTACGGTAGGACTTTAAGTTGGTTGGTACTGCATCAGCAATGCTGCCGGTCGCCCCGGTGGTCTAGTTGATAACCCCGAAACCTTCTATTAGAGGTCAGGTCAGGGGTTCGAATCCCGGCGTTTGCGAGCTTTTTTTCTTGCAAAGTGAGTTTTTCTCTTGCTTCCGCTCCTGGCCTAGTGGATAGCGCTAGTTCGTGTGTACATCGAGGGAAGAGAGTGCTGAATTCTTCTCGCATTAAAAATTGAAGGCAATGTACCGCAGGAGGGGAGGGTAGAGAGGGGCTCTTCTGTGTGACCACGGGTTGGAGTAAACAGCACTAGTGCCGTGAGCGCTGATTTGAAGTGAAGATAAAAAAACACAAACAAAAAAAAAAGCAGTGGCAGCAGCAGCAGCAGCAGCTGTGTATTCAAGAGTACGACAGCTGTAGTTCGGCAGTATGCAGTAGTCTACATAGTGGAGCAAACAAGGAAACTGTGTAAAAGATGAAGCAGGGATCCTTCATCCCTGCATGTATGTAGACTACTTCACCCGTAGCCATTCGGCTACCCCTCCAGGGTTACGGGGGAGGACCTCGTGCAGGGTACCAGATTTTGCAGCTATACAGGGTGCCACATTCTAAGGTGTCCCAGGGCTACGACCTTGACAAGGTGTCGCTTAGGTTGCCACCTTGACAGGGCCGGGGTGTCCTGGAACCTTGTCAGGGCAAGGCCTACCAACCATGGCACGGTGACTCCGGCTGTGCACCTTGGGGGGGGGGTGACTTTGCGAAACGGGTTCATTTTCTCTGTTTTCTACGGTTACAGCAGTAACTCCCGCAGCACCGGCTACATGCATGCTTATGCGCACACAGGAAACACGAAGAATGACAAAGCACACGCCAGAGTATCGACCGACAGGAACCGCCGGCGCCAGAATATCAAATCCATGACACACCGATCCATCTGTCCGAAGATTCTCCCTCATTCAACGCATCTCGACCCTTCGTACACAAAACTCGAACATTATCTAGTGATACCATGCCCTCCGTTTCGTATGTATGACACGCGCACATCACTACTCTCTCCGACCTACGCGATACATGCTTCAAAGACACAGGAAAAGCAAAAAGCAAAATCTGACACTCCAGGACGTGACGCCATATATAAGAAGCGACGTGGACATTTGACCGGGCATTCAACGACCGCCATTGAAGAGAGGCAAAAACATACGAAGTACAAGACAAAGACACCGCAAACACTGGCCTGTGTGTGGAACGCGCCAAGCGCCACCCCAACAGCATATTTTACTCGACCAAAGGTATCATCACATCATCATGATCAAGAAGGTACAAACTGATGACATCCAACAAGACTATTGCAGACTTTTAGCCGCCCCAGAGATTCACCTAGGTATCAAGAACAAGCCCCCCCCCCCAAAGCCGGCGCAGGCTCCCGCCGTCGGACAGACGCGAAAAAAGACCCCGCCACCAACCGCCTACTTCACCAAAAAGCAGGAGTAGATCACACAGAAAAAAGAAAAGAAAAGAAATCTCTGCCTTGTTGACCCGCAAGGCGACTACGCAACAACCGACATCCTGAGCAACATGCATCATACACCGTCACCGCGAACGTCGCGCAGGTCCCCGTTGCGCGACGTGATACGCAGCCGGTGTATACAGCTCAATGCAGCTCCGACGCATCCTAAATACAGATACAAAAAAAGCGCAGAGGTGAGGTCGGGTGTCCAGGATGATACCATCCCGCGCGACAGGGCGTGGATGTCTTAACTGCATCAACCCCGTGGGGGACATGAGACAACCGAGCAGCGAAGCTGTGTCAGAGCCAACACATTAACTCCGCGCAAAGAAATACCAGCAGCAACTTCGAGGTTGAAGTCTCCCCCCTTCGAAACCCACCCCAAAACTTGTCAGGCATACTTGGGAGGATACAGATTCTGCCGGGTTTAGCGCAGACGACATTCAGGGCGACATGTTGTTGAGGAAATCATCCAGGTCGCTAGCCTCGACGATAACATCGTCGGGGCGGTCGAAGGGCGTCTCGCGAACCAGTATCTCCTCGTCGCCCTCGTTCGAGACCTCGGGGCCAGAGAGGTCGGTCTTGCCGCCTGCGTTCGTTCGTTCGAAGACAAGCGAACGCGATAAACGCCACGATCAGGAGAAGTCAAGATTAATGCGAATATGACGGTCTCTTTGAGGACAGGGCTTCGAATTGGACGGATCGGGGGCATCCCTATCCTTCCTTTTGTATTGATCTAGCCTGAACGCTGAATGAGCTGTATTGAGGATACGACAAACAAAATACGGCCGTGTGGGAAAAACTTGCCTGCGAACGGCGCGATGTGGGTGACGATGCTCTTCTTTGTGAAGTCCTTCTTCGGGACGCGCAGGATGGGTTCGGCCAAGCGGAACTGGCCCGTGGCGAACTCGAACAGTAGTACCACAATCTACAGAAGGAACAGCACGGGCACAGAAAGGAAGCTGTGAGAACACACGCTGCGTGATAGATGGTGGGTGGCCTGCGGCGAAGATCTTGGCAAAATTGCTGCAAGTAGGTCCCGCCGTGCGCGTCTGATACACCTGCAACAATAGAAGCACCGATGCGTACGCCTTCTCAACACGTCCTCCACAACATTAGCCTCGAGGAGCTTACGAGGATGCATGTAAGTACTCGCTACGGCGCCACGTTCGTACGAAGGACGGAGAAGCTATTCCCGTCGTGCAGTCGCGCCCGGACGAAAATATTATTGTCAAACGTAACTATTTATAAGATCGACTCACGCATTCTGGAACTCCCGGGCCTTCTTGGTCTTATAGCCTCCGTTCATGCGGTGAGCGAAGGCCTGCACCTTCCGCTCCGCGAGGCACTGTTTGGTCTCCACGTCCCCGGCGGGCTCCACCTGCTGGTTTTCCGCATCGCAGAGCATGTGCATGACCAGCGGCACCGCGACCTGTTGGCCCCGATCGGGCAACAAGGGTGGGCGTATACAAGCAGGCTTTTAATTAAATAGAAAAGAGTGCCCCAATAAATCTGACTCTCGAGGGTCTGTGGGTGAGGCGCTTAAGGTACGTACCTTACGTCTACGGGGGACGCGAACTGGAGAAGCAGTTCACCAGGAAGGTGAGAAACCGGGAAGCGTTTCTAGTACCACCCGCTTTAGGTTCGTTAAGTCCGAAATGTAGCGC